AAAACTGATGCACAACGCGCCTTTAGATTGAAAAAATTTAGTAAAAGATAATTTTGGAGCATTATCAAAACGAAAGATTTTATATGCTTGCCAAATTGAGTTTCCACCAACTGAAAAAAAGTGTGGAATAATAACAAGAGCATGTGACTTTTTCCATACTAAGAATACCAAGTATAGCGAGAAAAGTCATCAACAAGTATCTATAACCAACATGAGTAGAGGTTTGATAGGGTCCTCGTACATCAGAATGCAATAGATTGAAAGAGGATGCAACAACATGGTTATGTGAATCAAAAGACRATATCTTCTGCTTAGCAAAGGGATAAACCAGACAAGGGTATTACTTTTATCTCTATGAGATAAAAAATGTAAAACATCCTTTAAAGCAACTAAATGTTTGTCTGAAAGGTGTTCAAGTGACACGACCTGCCCCAGATTACCCGACCTAACCTAGGACGTGACATGTCGACAATGGATTCCAACTACCGATGGATCTATTGTCAAACTAACATGAATTTTGATATGATATTTTGAAAAAAAAGCAAATCGTGGCTAGAARATTTGGCTGAGTAAAATCATGAAAATTTTGACAGAGATTCCTCTGAAAATTGATAAAACACTACAGCGAAAAAATTGTTCACTTCATAATATAAGGTATCATCATACTACAACCAAACGTGTCTCTTCGCACACTATTCAAGACTTATCTCATAAATTAAAATCACAAATTAGATTTCATCGATAGAACACATTTTTGCCTCAATTTAATAATCAAACCCACAATAATTAATTAGTGCAATGCAACGCGGTGGAAAAAAAATGCTAGCCATGCTAATTTCAGAGATAAAACAACACTACAACATTTTCATGCAAACTAATATGCAATCTAGATGAGGTTGGTGGCAAATCTTGATCCCAATAGGCTCGTTGGAGACTCAATTGCTACCTAGAAGAAAAATTAAGGATAGAAAAGTGAGCTAACAGACTCTYAGTGAGTATAAGCAATTTATAAGGAAACAATGTTCAGAAAACTACTAACATAATCAATAATAAACTATAATTTGTGAGACTGTCATGAATACGTTGAGAAATAAATCATTTGAAATACTTAATGGTAATAGATTTTTTTTTKAACATCACCTTGAAAACATAGTCATGGCTAGGAAATCTCCATCAATAAATCCATACTCGAAACTAGTCATACTGGCACGAAGCAGTCTCAATATGGACATTTGAGCAGACTAATCRTACCATATATGGAGAATCTCAATGCATATAGTAGAGCAACTAGTCATACTATACATCAAGAAATTTAAGATGCATAGTAGAACAAAACTGGTCATACTATACATCGAGTAACCTCAAGATATGTGTGTAGCAGAGCAAATCTAGTAATACTACATATCGAGCAAGCTCAACACACGTAGCAGAACAATCMTGGTCATACTATGTATCAATTAACCTCAAGAGACACATAGCAGAGAAATAGTAGTCTACTATGTATCGGTAACCTCAAGAGACACAAAAAATGGTTATCAAACATATATGGTTTTTGTTTTTTAAAAACAGAAAAACAAAAACCAAAAACTAAAAACCAAAAACCAAAAACMAAAATGGTTATCAAACGGGSCTTTAGTAACCATTTAGAACAATTTCTCAAACTTGAGGGACCAAAGAGACATGTAGTCGAAACTTGAACCAAAAGTGTATTTTTTCCCAAAATATATATATATATATATATATATGCAAAATCCTTCCTCTTAGCCATATTGTAAGATGGAAAAATCGAAATGCCATTATATTTTTAATAGATAAAAAGACATAATATCACATTTTTTTAAAAAATAAAAATAATTAGAAAAATACAATCTATTCTTACTTTCACAATTGACGATCCTGTTGAAGAAATAAAAATAATTTTGAAGATAAAGCCATCGGAAAATTGGAAAAATGAAACGTATGATTACATCAATTAAAATAGTTTTTTTGTTTTTTTTTTGGAACGGTACAATTAAAATAGTTTTCTTAGTCTAAAATATATTATGTTTGATTTTTTAATAAATAGGAATTGTACGAAGAAAAAAAWATATATATAATAAAAGGCGAAATGGAAATATAAAATTTATCTTATATAATACCTTCTCAATTTCTTTTAAATTGATATTTATTTAATTTGTGAAAACTAAAATAATAAATGAAAAATATTTAAACAACTTGCCATTAACGATTTTTTTTAATATCAAAATAGAATTAAAAAAATTTCTATTTCTTGTAGTACAACAAATGTGGAGATAAATGATTGAACCTCCGACCTCTAGAAAAAGAGTAAAGTGTTTTAATTGCTAAGTTTAGTGTTGTTCATGAATTGAGTTGRGTTGGGTTGAGTTATTTTTTAGACCCAATCCAATTGTTCAAATGGTAAATTTCTTCCACCAAAACAATCCTTATTAAATAACAAACTGAACCAGACCCCAATTATAAAATAYTTGAGTTGGGTTGATTCAAGTTATTGAGGTCAATTATTCAAAATATTGTTTACCAAAAAATGGAAATGATAATATTTTAAATATTTTTTATATATTATCTAATATTACATTAGAGTTCGTAAGTCGATTTTATTTATATGGAAAAACCCTCCAAAACTTTTAGAAAAATATTTTTGAAAAGTTGTTGTAGATTAAATAATGTATAAAAAATTATTGAATAAAATAAAATAAAAATAAATATAAGTAAATATTATCATTATGGTGAGAAAAACAAACAATTTTAAAATTAATAGTATATTTGGGTTGGTTCGGTTCAACCCAAACGTATTTTAGGTGAATTCTTGAACCAACCCAATTTATGAAATTTTCATTTATTTGAATCCAACTTAACTATATATATATATATATATATATTATAACCCAACCTAAACCATATAAGTTGGATTGGGTTGATCGATTTTTTTAGGTCATCGGATTTTTTGAACACCGTAGATGAGTTATGCTCAGGTTGGCAGAAAAAGTTTCTCTTGGTATAAATATCATTTATATTTATTAGGAAAATATTTTGACTTTTCTATTTATTATAGCATCTACATTACCACGTTGCTTATGATTTTTTTTTTGGTACAACAACGTCGTGTTTATGAATTTTATAGTCTATTTTATTTTTATTTCTTTATTGCATTAGTATTTGCAAATCTTTAGTATATAAATATTGAAAATGCATTTTGTATTGTAAATCATGTTAAATAATTTTATCTTTGTTTTATATTAATTACACTACAAATTTATAATACCCTGAAGTATTTCCTACCTTTATAAATAATTCTTAGCTTACTTTACAAATTTATGATATAATGAAATTTCATACTTTCCAAAGAACATAAAATCAAATAGGCAATATGTAGATAGTAGAAAATGAATACAATGCTTTTGGATGCATTAAATTAAGTAATTAGTTTTAGAATTTCTATGAAATTATTATTGCGATTGGATTTTTTTCATCAACAAATTGCAGTTTTAATGTATTAGAGTTATTTGATTCTAAAAAAATTAATATGTCGAATATTTATAAAATTGGTAAAAAAAATTGTAAGGGCAAAATTAGCTAGCAAATAAGAATATTTTAAGGGCAAAATTGGTATGTGAAAATTCTCCACTAATAAATATGTTTAATAATATAAATTTGTTACGACAAGATTTTTATATATATATAGAGTCAAAGCGAGCATAGGTCAGCGACATATATCTCTTAGGAGATTGTAAGTTTGATCCCAATATATATATAYWKRGAGGGAGAGAGAAAGAGAGCAAGTGTAATTACTAATTAGATAAATTTTATTTGAAGTGTTTCAAATTTAGGATAAAGAATTTGTTACTTGTCTSTTGCTGGTTGATTTAAGGGATCATGTAATTGTTGGAGGTGATTTCTCATTARTCACGTGTCAGACATATGATATGTTCAACARTGATGAGCCAACACAGTGACTCACATCTRAGAGACTGTAGCTCAAAMATATGTAAAAGGCGAGCCGAACTAGTGACTTGAGCATCGAAGTGTTTACTCTCTTTTGCAGATCTCCTACTTGCATCACTTCAGTTGTCGAACTTCGCGGACTTGGTCAAATTCTTAACCAAACAGTAATCATCCCTTGGGTTGATTATATTGTTTGAAGGTTTAGATGTTTGTGAGCGGTTAAGCACCAAATAACCAGAGGGTTCCTAACTCGATTTCCATAATAGGCGAGCTTGGTCAAGTACTTTTCTTTAGCCCCTCCAAGGTGTTCCTCCCATCCGATCAAATTTTGTCACCCCTCTTAGGATTTTGAAGGAGGGGAGAATCTATATATCTAACGACTTTGAAATAAAGCAACTCAACATCGAGAGATTTGCTACCAAATTATGTATCTCGCTCTTTAACCCATTTTGGAGTGCACATGTTCAAAATCGATATGATTTTAAATTTATTTATTTCAACTAAAATTTCAATATTTTCATTGAAATTTTAACACAGAGTTACTGTTCTCCATTACAAGAATTTTAGGTTTCTCCGACGCTTTTTTGCTCGCCAAACAAAAAGGGGTGGGAAAAAGTTATTCTTCGTGACGATTTCTACTTCGTTGTGATATAGCAAACTTCTCCTGACGTTTACTAAAAATATCAGGATTGGCCTCTTTGCCTGATATTTTTTTCAAAAGCTAGCGTTGGGAGCAAATTGGCCCGACGTACCAAATTGACAATTTCTCCCAGCATTTTTGTAAAAAAAAGTCTAGATATGTCTTTTTGCCCGACTCTTTGCAAAACAAAGTCGGGAGAATGATAGCAACTTGGGTGCCAAGTTGTTGCCCTTCTCTCGATGCTTTGTAAAAAGAATTGGGAGAAAAGACCTCTCCCGAGGTTTGGCGTAAAAAGGTCGGGAGAAAGACAGCCAGTAACCTAAACGTCAAGTTGATTTTCCCGACGCTTCTTACAAAAATAGAAAACAAAAAATTAGAAACACGAGAAAGAAAAAAATATCAACATCACCAAAGAGGACTTTAAGGCTTCTAGATTTATCTATGCAAAAGTAATACAAAATATAAAAAAATGTAATCATGTACATGGAAATGACAAAATTGGACAATCTTGTTACATTGACATCTAGGTAAATGATGGCATTTGATTGTAATAAACCACAAAGGGGCTCTCATGGTTGTGAATTCCCTCATAAGTAGTAATCACATAGCTTGCATCCTCTCTGTCTCTTTCCACCTTCTTCTTCACAGTGCATCCTTCACTTGAACATTTATAGTAATTTCTGTACCAATAACCACACTTTTCTCAAAACCCATGTACATTATATTTATATTTTAGGCTAAATAGCCAGAATTTTTCGATTACAGTTTGGTTTTTATTGTTCTAAAATTTTCAATTTAATCCATAATGGTTTCATAAATCTCTGAAATGTTCTTACTATGTTCATAGATAGCTCTTCCTACCTTTAATAATTTAGTCTTTATGATTTTAAAAGTTTCAATTGATTTAATATGGTTTGATTAAATCTTCGAAAGAAAAAAAAATCATGTTATGGCATGATGCTAACAGTTGTAACACTTTTTTCTCAACGCAATAAAGGGGACCGATAAAAGTTGGCGTGTCTAATTAGACCATAAGGTAGGGACATTCATGGGTCGGGTTGGTTTTTAGAAGGTTTTTTGGACCAACCCGAATTCGAGTCAATCGATTATGCTCGGGGAAACTGATAAAGATTCTCCAACCACAAACTGAATCGAATTTTCAATTCTAAAAAAGAAAAAACAACCCAACCTAAAACGAACAAATTTCTAATTAACCCAACCTAATCCTTATAATTTGGATTGGATTACACGGGTCGCTCGGATCATCGAATTTTTTGAACACTCCTGATATATGATCAAATAGAAACTTTTAAAGCAATTCACAGCAAATTGAAGCTAAACACATAAGGACTATCATTATTTTATCATACAAAATATTATAATATATTTCAATCTTTTTTATAAAGCTCTCCTATCATACCAAGTGCTGCACAACAACACCAAACGTTGACTATACTTTTTTTTTCATTCTCGTCCCTTGGTGAAATTACTATAATACTCTCCCCCCTCTCTCTCAAATTGAATGTGAATCACACATATATACCAAATATATATTATCTATAATTTATCATATAATATATATTATCCCTAACTTTACTTTATATGTTTTTGACTATTATTCCAGCCGCCTCCAACATATGGTCTGTGACAACTGAATAAGACACATAAAATTACACGTCTAAATCAAAAGGTCCCCTAATTAAATTGTCCCCAACCAAAATTTCATGACCAAAATCAAATCTGATTCAATTTTTAAAAAGTTTAATTTGAAGCCATAACTTAATTAATCACCTGGGATTTGGGCTGTTCTTCACAGACTTCTTCCCATATTTCCTCCACTTGTAGCCATCATCCATGATCTCTTGCTCCGATTTGGTCCTAAAGGCAACCCTACACCCCACATCTTCCTTCTTCTTCTTCCCTTCGTTCCTGCAAAACGAAACGGTATTCAAACTCTTAAACTCATGGTTCGGAATTCGAATTCCAAAGTGGGTTTAGTTTTTAAAGCTAAATGGAGGCACTTGCATGGACGATGTCGCTCCTGACGATGCTACGGTACTAGATCCACTGTCGACTACGGCACAACTATTGCCACTGTCCACTCCAGTGATCTTCTCTGACGAGGCGATGCTAGGCGAGGAGGAAGCGGCTTGGTCGTCGATGTTGATGTTGTCGTCGTTGAGCATGAGGTAATCGGAGAGGTCGAAGTCGAAGAAAACAGACGGGTCGAGGATTGGGGGAAAATGAGTGTAATTAGGATTAGGGTTAGGGTTAGGATCTTGTTGAGGGAAGCTGGCCATTGGGAAAGAGAAACGGAGTTGGTGTGAAAAGAGGCAGCTGGTTGTAAGGAATGGATGAGATTTTATAATAAGAGATATTAATTAATTCTTTTTTTTCCTTTTTTTTTAGTATTTCTCTCTCTCTCTTTCATGGGCAGTTTCCTACGAAGAAGATGCTTTGAAAGTTCTTAATTGGGGACACGTGGCGGCTTTGGAGTGACTAGGTGACGTCACTGTCGTGACGTTTGGTGCACACTTTATTGTACTGTAACGGACCACTTTTCCTTTTTTTTTAGGACAATTTTCTCTTAATTGCTTTTTTTTCCTTCTTTTTTTTTGTTAAATTAACTTTATTTTGAATTTGGTACGTATCATATTTTTTTCTTATTTGTACTTAATCCTTATGAAGGGGAGATTGAAGGATGGATTAGATGGTAATATACATGCCATATTGAGCCATATACTTGAATTGACTGGTATGTATAAAAAAAAAGAAAAAAAATTCTTGCTATAGCATATTTTTTGATATCGCAAAAATCATCGGTAGATTATAGGAAAATGTTTATCCCAACGAAAGTATAAATCATCGGCGAAAGGCTGAAAATGTTGATGAAAAATGGGGTGTGGGGAAAAAGTATGGTTTTTTCATCGTTTCATCGTTTTTGCTCGTTAACGATGGTTCTTCGACGCTTTTCTTCGCTATTTCTTTGCCAATTTTAGCTACACAACTAAGATTCTTGAGGTATATATGTTAAGTATTTTAATTGTATTTTTTTAAGTTATTTTTTATTCGGTTATTCTTGGAAAAGTTTAGACACTTTAGCTGCATAACATAGAGAATTGTTCTTTCACTTCTTATGAGGATTTCTCTCAAAAAAAATTCTTTCATTCTTAACAAAATCAAGCTATTTCACTTCATTCTTGGTATATACTTGGTATGTAGCCCTAAATTTATACTTGGTTGGAAACATAGGAGAAATTTTTGGTAACCCTAATTTTTTTGTTTCAAATTAAATGACAGGGTACTTCTGTTATAGTTAAGAACTTTTACGGTTGTTTGGAGTCAGGTTAAGATGTTTAGGTTGAAGTTAAGTACTTTTTGAATAGTTTGAGGTGAGTTTGGGATGAGTTAAAAGCACTTGAAATTTGCACGCTAAACACTTTCGACGTGAATTGGGCACTAAACTTGTATTAAATTCATGTTTTAGAGATTATTTAAGAGTACTAAAACAAATTAAACTTATTTACATTACTTTTAAATTCTAAATGAATATATATTTTTTACAATAATTTTAATATTTAATTTGTTCTAGTGCGATGTGATTGTGAACTTTAGGATATGTAGGTGAAAATTTCTTGGTCAAGGAGGGAGGCTCAGGCTCATGGTGATTTGATTGCTATCCTCCAACAAAGATGACCATTTTTTTTTCTTTACTTTTTGCTCAAGTGTTCTACTCTTTTCTTTCATTTTGTATCTTCCTTATGTGTGAGAATTATTGGG